CAAAAACTTCTTCCTGTCCGCTGAAAGCAATGCATATTTATCAGAAACTTTGGCAGACTTCATTTTGTGATTGAATTTGGTGGGTCTTTGGCATGAAAACTAATAACAACGGTCTCAGGCGTGTTAGAAGTATGATATTATACGAGTATAAATTTACTGTAGTTATTGGTGGTTTCTTTTTATTTGTTTCTTCAGGCGTGCATTTCCAATGGAGAATTACTCTTTTAAGATGGGCTGACGACTAAAGAAAAGGGTGCTTAAATGTGGGTTTACAGGAAATTGGCTTTGAGTAGGGATGAAAATTTTTTTTAAAAAAATTAAAATTTATTTAAAATTGTAGTGTTTGATTTAATTCGGATCAATGTTTTATTCGATTTTGACAAAATTTAAATATAATATATATATATATATATTAAATTTGTATTGAATTTCGGATCAAAATATTAAAAATAAAAAAAAATCAAAGTGAATTATATATTTTTATTAGTTTTATATATTTTTTAAATTTGTATAAAATAAAAATAATTATTTTATGTATAAATTTATTTAAATATATTAAAAATCTTAATTAAAATAACACAAAAAATAAAATTTAAAATTTAAAAATTAATTAATCAAATTGAATAATTTAAATTAAAAATCAAATCGAATTTTAAAATTCATAATATTTTTATTATTAAAATAATTAAATCAAATTTGATTCAATTTAAACCGTGGTTATCCCTAACTTTGAGTTTTCATGAAATTGTGGCTTTATTCTCCAAGAGGCTCGGCTGAAATTTCTAGATATTGGTTGGTAGTGTTAGGGGTTCTGATTTGGGGTGGATGATTGCGCATGCTCAAGTGAAACATCTTTATCAAAGTATATCCCTAAAGACAAAATACTTCATGAAATGGTAATTTCATTATTTTCAAATAAAGATTGATGTGATATTTGCGAACAGGGCCTCCAACCTTGGATGGGGATAATTTTACTCTAAACAGTAATTGCTTTGCATAGGGGCTCCTTATGGTTGAACATTGCAGAAGCCCTTAAGCCTAAAGGCTTAATGCAATCTCCGAGGAGCTTGCAAGAAGGATGGACGTATCTTCCATTTGGATTTGATAGGAGACAAGCTTGTCCAGGTGCCGCCACGGTGCATCTATACAGTGTTTTGAATGGGAAAGAGTTGGTCCATAGAAGGTTGAGCCGATACTTTGGAGAAACTCCGTTCAAGGCGTAGCCTCTCTAGGCCCATTTTCGTCCGTTACTCAGGGCTAAATTTAATTCAAACCCTAGTCTAAATTCTAAAGTCTAAACGTGGACCAAATATTTGATTTGAAGCCCATTTATCTATATGAGCTGGGCTTTTACATCATTGTTTTAAATGTCGCAATGCCGCCGCGTGTCCAATCCTAGTCAAGTCAACCTCTACCGCGCATATTAATTCAGTAGTTGCCTTAGACCCCCGTTTCCTTGCCGATTGGATAGATGAGCCAATTGGCTGAAGCGGGCATTATCAAGTTTCAATCAGCTAAGATGTCCTACAATTATGGATCACGACAGATCGAGGTGGGTTGCATTTTTATGTGATTCAAATTTAATTTAATTTTATATTTATAATATTTAAATTTGATTTAATTTAAAGAATTTATTTTATATTTAAATTAGATTAAATTTGATATTATATAAAATTATATTTAATTTAATTTAAATTAATAAATTATTATTTTTTAAATATAAAATATTATTTTTAATATAAATATAAAATTAAATAATTAATTAAAAATAATATATATATTAAATTAAAATCGATCAAAATTTATTTAAAATTAAATTTTGATCTAATATTAAAATTTTTTATTATTTAATTTTATTTAAAAATTTAATTTTAAAAAATTAGATCAAATCAAACCTTGGATGGATTGAGCCACCAGTTCTGGGACAGACTATGTTCATTGACTTCAGCTATGGAGGTCTTTTAACGTGTGAGGTGCGTTCTTGTTGAATAAAAAGCTTTCGGTTTAATAGTAGATATAGACATGTGCTCACGTAGATACGCGTTTTTCTCTTTCAAGTTCGATAGAAAGAATTGCATTTGCGTCCATCCATATTATTCATTTTATTAATTTTGACTCCCTTTTAACTTCGACACACATATGGGATGTGACGTAATTATACTATTTTTTTCTTTTTTTTGTTATTTTAATTTTATTTTTCTTTATTTATATATTATCATTGAAAACATATATATTTTTTGTTATTTTTTTAATTTGATAAGTTTTTAAAAAGATTATCCTAATGAATGTGTGATATTACATCTGAAATTGATTTTTTATTTTTTTAGTCTTTTTCTAATTTTTTATTTTGTAAAATCTATGATATAAATTTTTAAAAAATTTATTATTATTAGTTTTATGTGGTAACTCAGCTTTTTTTTCTTTTTTTTCTTTTTAAAATTTTTTAAAATTATTTAATTTTTTATAAAAAGCTAAAGAATATGTACATATAATACCCTATTTCATCTTTTTTTGTTTTTTTTAATTAGATAAATTTTGCATACAAAAATTAAAAAATATTTAAAAAAAATATTAATGGAAGTATGTATAACAAAATAAAATTGTATTTAATAAGTTTCAATTTGTCTAGATCTAATAAAAACCTTTTCTTAATTTGAGATCATAATTTTTTTTTTTCAAAATCAAAATCAAGTTAGATATGAGTTAAAGGTGTTTCGTGTTAGATATTTTTAAAATAATATATATAAAATAATCTTACATTAAAAAAATAATAGATAAGACAATCATTTAAATTGAGATGAATAGAAGTCCGTTAGACTTAAGTGACTAATAACTATAGGTTTAGATTTTCAAGCTTAGTTGGTCTTGTATTAATTAAATAATTAATATATATATTAATAATTTAATTAATGGCACTTGACATGTGCAATGCAGTGAATAAAATATTATTTTATCTTAATTTAAAGTTTAATTAAATGTTCACTTAACTAAGTCTATCCAAAAACAGATAAATAGATAAGAACAAAAAGTTAAATTTGTACCAAATAAATAGATTAGGCTATTCAAATTGACAATTTTGATTATTCAAAATATATAATTTATATCTATTCAAAATAAATTGTTATGTCTATAGAATAAATGGACACTTAATTATTTATATAAGTTTCTCTAGTTTTTTAAAAAACACAAAAACAATTATCGGAACTCTTAATCCTTCAAAACTTCAAATTTTTTTTTTTTTAATAAAAGTTTTGTTGTAGAAAAATTTTATAGAAGTTATGAGATCTTGTAATATGTCAATGAATGTTCGTTGAATGATTTTATCAATGTAAAACATAATCAATTATCAAGTTTCATTATATTTTTAAAATTTATCGCCTGCAACCCTTTTGCACATTTACTAATTAAATAATATAATAGAGGTAAATAAAACTTCAAAAAAAATTGTATTGTTATAGGAATGACAAAATAACTTATATCTCATGAATTTTTATTTGACCTGATCTAATACATGTAAATTTTTAAAAAATCTAAAATAAGATTGAAATTTTTATTTTTAAAATCGTGGTCAGATCAGAGTGATTTAGGGTAATGCACATTGTCCCAGTATATATATAAAATTATATTTTTAATTAATTATTAAATTTATATTTATATATTATTATGTTAATAGAATTATTATTTTATATTTTAATATAATAAAGATATTATATTTATATATAATTAAGATGTAATCCATCAATTTATTGTATAAATTATATTTATTAAATTTTGTTTGATTTTCATTTAAGGTGTTGATGTGACACTTTATACTTTTTTATTTATTTGGTTATTTTTCTTATTTTTTCAACTTTTCTAAAAATTTTATATTTTTAATTTATATAGATTTGTTAGAAAAAAAACTCAATAGAGTTGTTCACCTTACACCCCATTTTTTTTTAATTACATAAAATTTGTAGCAAATGTAGTCGATGAATATGACTTTTTATTTCGATTCAGCCTATTCAAAATGACCAATTGCCTTTTTAAATCAAAATTGAGTTGGGATGAATCAAATTTTTTATAAGATGTGATATTAGATTGATACATATTTAGAGTATTTTATCTAAATTTATTTTGAAATAAATATAAAATATATATTTTATTATTTTAATTTTATATTTATATATATTATATTAATAAAATATTATTTGATATTTTAATTTAAAATTTAAATATTTTATATTCAATTGAAGTATCATAATGATACCCTCTTGTCAGGTTTTTTTTATTTTTTATTTTTATATCCATGTATCACTTCAATGTGATTTTTTTACCTTTTATTTTTTAAATTAAATAAATTTTATAAAAATAAATAAATAAATAAAAATAATAAAACAAAATTTTTTGACTTGCATAAGGGTATCATCTAGTTTTTCTTTCTATATTACAATGCAACGCTTGGGAAAGAAGTCAAGCGCGGCTCTCTTGTTAAGATAGGAGTTGAAGTCTTGAAGATGATAACAAGTAATTGCGCGAAACGCACCCAGAGACAAGTATATGCTCCAAAATAAAAAAATTTAGATGAAGTTTTCTATTAAAAATTATTAAATAAAAATTAAAAACGAAAATAAAAGTTGATAAATTAAAAAATTTTATTATATAGATTAAATATATAAATTTTGAAAAAATTTAATAAATTTTGATATATATTTTTAGATAAATATTTTTAATAAAAATATTAAAAATTTTTATTATTGAATAAATATTGATCAAATTTAAATTATAAATAATATTTTAAATAAATTTTTATATATTATTGATTTCTTCAATAAATTTTATCAATCTATCAATTTTAATTTTTTATTAAATAATTAAAAAATAAATTTCATAATTTTTACATAAAAATTTGTATGTAAAATTTGTACTTGTTAAAATTTCCCAAGAAGAAAGAAAATATAAAAACGGAGTAAACGCGGCTTTAGTTGATTTGTTAGGAGTTCCGAGTTATTTCGTCCCATATCAGACAAAAAATGCCCAATGGCTGCTTTACTACATGATAATTGTTAAGTGGGTTGGATTGCCGAATGGGTTCCGGAAGTAATTGTCACTCATAGTTTGTCCCTACATATTCAATGAGCTACAGGATTTGAAGCTAGAAAATTCAAGGTCTATCTGCCCTTCAGCATTGTATCTAATCTAATGTTCTTGATATTTGATAAGATTTTCTGTGTTTCAATGGAAAATCCGTGCCATTACCTTGGCATCATATTCTTCATTTTTCTCACCATCAAGCTTTTAACTCATAGAAAGCAAAATTTACCTCCAAGCCCCTTTTCTCTGCCAATCATTGGCCACCTTCACCTCATCAGAAACCCGCTCTACCAGTCATTGGCAACCTTGTTATCAAAGTATGGCCCTATTTTATATCTCAAAGTAGGTTGCAAGCGTATCCTTGTTATGTGTTCTCCTTCTGCTGTCGAAGAATGCTTCACCAAGAATGATATAATATTTGCAAATCGGCCTCCGACTATGGCTGGGGATATTTTAACGTATAACTACATTAGTTACGTGTGGGCTCCTTACGGACCGCTTTGGCGGAACCTTCGCCGTCTCAGCGTTGTTGAAATTTTCTCTTCAAACAGCGTTCAGAAGTTTTCTTCCATACGTGAAGAAGAAGTTGGCAACTTTATGCGTCGCTTGTTTGAAGTCTCAGCAGCTAATGGCAGCCAAAAGGTGGACTTGAAGTACTTGTTCTGTCTTCTGACTACGAATGTCATGTTGAGGGTGGTAGCGGGAAAGCGTGGTGTTGAGGACGCTAAGGACATGGAGGCAGAAAAGATATTCTTCCGGGAATTTAAGAATATATTTTTTCCGAGCTTGGGAACCAACATTTGTGATTTCTTCCCAGTTTTGAGGTGGATTGGTTTCCAAGGGATTGAAAAGAATTTGAAAGAATTGCAAAGGAGGAGAGATGCATACATTCAGAATTTAGTAGATGGAATTAGATTGAAGAAGACTAGTTGTTCTGTTGACGTTCCTGTGATAAAGGAAGAGGGAAAGAAGAATCCTTCGCTGGTCGAAAAGCTTCTGTCTATTCAAGAAGAAGATCCCAAATTCTGTTCCAATGAAGTCATCAAGAGCATGGTATTGGTAAGTAGCTATTTTTCACTGATTTTAGCTTTTTCCCTCTTTTGTCATCTGAAGAAAAAAAGTACTAGTTCTAATAAAGCTTGAAGACTTGGAACTTTAGACTTCTGGAATATATATTTTTTGAAATAATCTTGTGTTATGCAAAATAATTTCATCAATTCGGATAAAGACCTTGGGGGAAAATTACTATTGGCTGATGCCGGAAGTCATTCCCTTGACTAGCTCTGGATGGACTGGATTGGTCAATTAGAGCAGTGGTGAATGCAAAATAACCAAAGCTAATGCTTTTTTGTTTGTTCCTAACTTTTGTGCCCAACACAGGGGACTTCAACCTTAATTTTTTTAGCATTAGCATGTTTGAATGCAATAAGCCAAAAGACAACCTTTGTAATGAAGACCAAAATTCAGTGAAACAAAATGAACATTTGCCTTAGACCTTAATTAGATAGTTGTCTGTTCCTTTTTTTAAGTGGCCAGATATGGGCTAACTTTCTTTAATAAAATTGATGGTTGTGCTTGAAGTTTTAAACTTAACTTTGTTTTTAGATGTTATGTGTATGTATCACAGCAATAAGTGTCAAAAATAATATATTTTTAACATTGGCATGCAACATGCACATCAGATGATGTTCATTGCAGGAACTGAAACAACAGCGGTTACAATGGAATGGGCAATGGCACTCCTATTGAATCACCCAGAGGCTTTGCAGAAGGTGAGAGCAGAGATCGTTAGCCATGTTGGACATGAGCGGCTGCTAAATGACTCGGATCTTGCCAAGCTTCCTTATCTTCGTTGCGTTGTAAATGAGACACTCAGGTTATATCCCCCAGCACCAGTTTTGTTGCCTCATTGTTCATCTGAAGATTGCATGGTTGGTGGTTATGAGATACCTAAAGGCACAACGCTGTCGGTCAATGTTTGGGCCATCCATAGGGATCCAAGTATATGGAAGGAGCCTACCAAGTTCAAGCCTGAGAGATTTGAGAGATCTTTCGAAGAGAAAGGAGTGGAATTTCTTCCATTTGGACTTGGAAGGAGAGCTTGTCCAGGCGCTACCATGGGCTTGCGGTTAGTTTTGTTGGCACTAGGTGCAGCTATACAATGCTTTGAATGGGAAAAGTTAGGGTCGGACAAGGTGGATATGACCCCAGGTACTACTGGATTAGCTCTGTCAAAGGCTAGGCCATTGGAGGCTCTGTGTTGTCCACGGCCTGATTTGATTAAACTTCTTTCCCAATTTTAAAGTTTAGAGTTTCCAAAGAGTTTGAGATTGTAACTATAAGTAAGGGCTGTAGGGCTTGGCCTTCATTAATGAAATAAGGTAGTGCGACTGCTATATAATGATTGCTGTTTGTTACTACTATTTTTTTTTGGGGGGGGGGGGGGGGGGATTTATAAATAGTCGGCAGTGAATTTTCAGGACTATCTATGTATCAAAATTTGAAACAGACCAAATTGACTAATTCCATATCTTAAACTTGTCTGTCTATAGCTGAGTTTTGCCTTTTGGCCCTTGATCTAGATGACATTCAATAATCAATATCGTGCATCCAACCATGCTGTTGGATTGACATCAGGTAAATCCATGATTAATGTTCTTTCAGAGCTATGAGTTACGTGTGTTAAGTATCAGAAAGTTGCAGCGGTTCCTGGCTTGAGTTTGAGTCTGCTATGGATGTCCTAGTAACAGGAACTTGTGTAATAAGCCAGCACACACAGTTGGGCTTTGGTACAATCATTGTTACAGATGATGACAGGGTTTTGGGGGGACCTGCTTTGTTAATTATTACATAAAGGAAGCCCATGGGCTTAACTTGCCTTAGTTGAGTTGGCTTCTCTACGGTGGTTGAATTAAGTGAGGTTGCTTCTTCATTGCCTTGAACGAAAATCAATGAGGAATGCAACGTCATGTTATCAGAAATTGATTTGTTGACAACCAAATCACAATCAACTAAACAATAATGCAAAAAAAATGTAGAATTTTAGAGCACTTTAGACATTGTCAGATGCAGATCTAAGTGAAAGTAAAGTTGGTCGGTCCATTTCATTTCAACCCACACCCTGCCCACATTCAATTACCCTTTTCCACTCTCCAGTGAAAACCCAAAGTGCTAAACCAAAAGAAATGGCTGATCTTGATTCAACCACTCCTCAAGGCTCCGCCGTAGCGATGGAGTCCCACCAGACCCCGGCCCAAACCCAAGTAGACGATGCCGCCTCCAAACTCAAAGATCTCACCCTCCGAATTTGGCCCCCCACCCAACGAACCCGCGACGCCGTCATCAACCGTCTCGTCGAGACGCTGTCGTCCCAATCCGTCCTTTCCAAACGCTATGGAACTATCCCCGAGGAGGAGGCCTCCGCGGCGGCCAAGTCAATCGAAGTGGAGGCTTTCTCGGTCGCCGGAGCATCGTTCTCTGCCGACGACGACGGCATCGAGACCCTTCAGGCGTATTCCAAAGAGATCAGCAAGCGTATGCTCAATACTGTCAAAGCTCGAGCTGCTGCTGCCACCGCCGACGCTCCATCAGGTTCGGCGGAGGTAGACTCATGTAATTCGGGAGCTGCGGGTGGTGAGGGGATTTCGTCCTTAACCGTAAAGGCTGAGGCTTGAGTTTGAGGATTCTTATGGTTTTTTTTTTTTGTTTAGCTTGATAATTGGTATTGATAGGGTTTTTTTTTGGAGATCTGTTTCTAGTTTCTACTGATTATGGATATTTCGGGATGCTTAATTACTTATATATCATGATAATAATATCTGTAATAATATTTATTAATATCTTGTGTTATTTCCTTCTTTTTTTTTTCCGGTTTTCTGTAACCTTGGTGGAAATGTGCTTGATTTTTACGAGTTGATTGGTTTTTGTGACTCTATTCGTTGACACATTGAAAAATTGAGAATGAAGATGCTTGAAATTTTGTTCAGTGATGATTTATTTTCTAGCAATTCATCAGCATTCCTTATCTTTATTCACTGTGTGTTCTTTCTTGATCTGTTTCAACAAATGCAGTCATTAGATTCAGAGGAATTAGGCAATGCTGTTTAGAATTTGCATATCTTAAAGGCCGGACATTTGGAATCCATAGCAGTCAAATTGAAAGTCTTTTAAGAGTTTATATGTAGAAAGAGCTCTAAGCAGCAGGGTTCTGTGTTTTATTAGATCTCAAATGGTCTCAATATGTCTTTGATTCGCTTTTATTGTAATTTTATTAAATAATTCTAACATGTTAGAGCCACCAGGATGCGGAAGTTCTTTAAGATTTCTGCTATGAACTAGAATCTAGCATGCAAGGGATAATTTAAGTGCTATAGAAAATATGAGTAGATCTTCATTGAAAATGCATTCTTATGAACTTATCTTTGCATCGTCTCCTGGTACTATAAACATAAAATTGACATGAATTGAATGTAGACACATGCTCATGCAACCTATATTCTTGTGCTTGAGTCAAAATAGGTATAATGCTCCAAAGTTTTTGTGTTTTTACTTAACAAGCTATTTTTCATGTTCCATAATTCTGTAACATATGTGTACAATATGTTTCCCTGACTGATTCGAACATCATTTTCTTTCTTTGAATGGTGAACCTCTTTGCTTGCTGCATCCCTACGCCGAGTTGCATCATATTCTTTTTCTAGTGGGTGCATATTAAACTGAATTCTTTGCATTATAATTTTTTAACTTGATTCCCTTTAAGGGCTTCAACTAGGCAGAAGACTTGTCCATGTTATATTACTCTTGTTGCATTGCAATGGAGTCAAATTTCTGTTAGCATTCTTGATCCCATACCTGCAGCTAACATCTTGATTGGAGGAATATTATAGTTATTTTTCTTATTTAATGCCATAAGACTCCAAATGATCTTTTGATTTCTATACTCAGGTGCATATCACTCAAATTGCTCACTTCCGAGGTATATGAAATAATCCATCTCTAAATTTTGTTTATATCATGCTTCCCTCCCAGCAGTGATTTCCTGACAAATAATGCCAGAACAAGATCTACTGTGTTAGCCATTAAGATATCTGTGAGCTTCTATTCACATAGTCTATGTTACATGCTCTTAATTCTTCGAGTTCTTTTCCTGCATATATAAACGTCCTGTATGAATGATGTAACATAACTAAGTAATCTCTTTTAATTAAGAATGCTTTGGGCAAGTTACAAATTTCTAGATCACTGTTGTCAACACTGTGTGATCTTTTTTCGGCTTTCAATAATTTGGCAAAGAACCCTTTTGAGCTTGATCATATGTTGTGAATGCTTACCTGACTTTAATCTGTGCTATGTCTAGTGTTTGTCAAACTCTCGACTGTATCCAGTAATGTGGGTGTTTGTGACTGTGTATGTGTATAAATAATCACTATGAAGAAGCTCTCCTCAGTTTGGAGAAAAGGTTTCTATAATGATATTTTCACTTCCAAAATCCTCTTCCCCCGTCCCCTTTCATCTCTACTTGTTTACGATTGATGATTGAATCCTGTGATTTGACTATTGGAGATAAGGAAGCAAGAGAAAGCAGTGAGCGTTGGAAGTGGATGTTAGTTCTAGCCGTCGAGTATAATACATTGTAACTTGTCTCGTCATACACTTCATTGATTTCAATTCTATCTCTTGCGCTGATAAATCTCCTGTTGTCCGAAAATGTCCAACTATGTTTAGGACAACTGACAGACAACCGTGTTATGCTTGCCCTGCACTTACCCCTGGTTATTTTGGTTGAAGACTATTCCTACTTTCATGGTAGGGGACGTGGGGGGCCTTGGGCGCGATGAAAGTGAATTTGTTCGTTGCTTTCACACATTTTCTCATGAATCAAGATGTTAAAAGCGTACTAGATTTTTGTTTGAATTTTTCAGAGAATTGACCCTTGTTTTGTTTGTTTGCTGTGGCTCTTTTGCGAATGTTTTTACATGGAAAAATTTGTTGGTTGGATTCAACAACATTATCTTTCAAGTTCTTCAAGGGAGTTTAGGTTTGTGTAAGTGGGGAACAAAATATTCTTTAAAACTTTTAGCACAAAATATGCTTTTACACAGTAACTCTTGAGAGAAACGATTCAATGTGGAGAAGAATTCTTTGAGTAAAACTTTCAGTTTAACAATCTTTATATTGTGGTGCAATATTAAGACATTTTAGCTTTCCAGGGACTTAAAATTATGCCGGTTTTAGTCCTATTGAATCTGAACAATTGGTCTGGCCAAAAAAAAAAATAAAAATCTGAACAATTGATACCTAATGGAGCGATCTCGGTAGCTTTATTACAGATTGGAAGTGGAGTGTATCTACCTTGTTTTCATGAGTCATGGCCCCCAATGAGAAAAGATGATTTTATAGCTACTTTTCAATAATGCTAATTTTTAATGTCCACTCGTTGTGTCATCTCGTCGGTAGATGGTGGCTAAAGGAGCCATATATCCGCCACATCCAATTATTTATCTACCATGGGGACATGAATTGCTAAGTTTTGGGCCGATTGCATGGAGCATAGTAATATTTGAAATTCAACTTTCACCAGCATTTCGAACAATTTGATGACTTTTAAAATGGAGTTGTCCACAATATTTGACTAGAAAATTCCCCTCTGCTTATATTTTGGTGCACACACATCCCGAATTTAACACACAAGAGGACAGAAGAAGATCGGAATTAGGTGACAGACTGACAGTACCTTACAAACATTTTGCAGTAGCTGAAACAGATTAAAAAAAGAGAAAAAAGCTTGGGAAGAAAAATAATAAGCATAAACAAAGCCGAAAGCAATGCCATTAAAGAATGATATGCTTAATTCTTTCCGCAGATCAATCTTAAGTTCTTTAGGTGACAAAGATTAGTGGTTTCTCTCGTGGGGTCTATCACCTTAGAAATTTAGGCCCTTTAGCTGTTCGTTTTTCTTGTCCGTCGACAGAGACTTGAATGCTATAGGCTTAGGGTCCACTGCAAACAAGGATGATCAAGTTCGGCTTGTTAACATTATTTCCATGCTTACATACAAGCTTTCAATAAAAAAACAGAAAAAGAATCTATATTTTTGCAAATGAAATCAATTTCCAGCCTGTCTAGAAACACGCGGAAGGAAGGAAAAATGTTAGCTAAATCTTCTATGCATTGAGAGATTAAGTAGAAAGTATACATTATCAAACGAGGCAGGCATTGAATAGTAGACAGAGAAACATATTGGCATGGTCAATTAAAGCTAATCGGTGATGGACTATCTGCTGATCTTCCGTCTTCTGTGCTTTTCTTTTTTACTTCAATGGAGTTTGGTTTAGATTGCATAATCAGATTTCTAAATTCTTTGCAGCTTCTTACTTGTAAATGTAGGTGATTTTGCTGACAATCATACAAGCTTAAATTCCATATCCAGGTGATAATAATATAGTATATGATTTCTATAATTTTTCATCATCCAAAACAACACAGATTATCCTAGTTCTAATCAATGTGTGTCGCTATCTCAAAATTTTCAATCTAAACTGTGAAAATTACAAGTATAATTAGAACATCTCGTCTTAAGGAATGAAAAACAAATCTCCGATTTTCCTAGTAGGAGATTAGAGATGAAAAAAAATGCTACAGCTTGCAAATCTGTGCACAACCTTGGTCTTGGCATAAGTTGGAAAACCAAATAACAAAAAATGAAACCAAGAATGCTTAAAACTAATGTCCCGGACCTTTTGTGTTTGGTCCGGAGGCTAATTTATAAGCCAAGCTCCTAAACGATTTACGGTTGCTGGAGTTGTTTGCAAACGAAGAAACACCAATCGCTTCATTGTCAGGTCCCCCTTGTTCTTCTCGTCCTGGATTAACAACGACATTGTCCGTCGTCGTTGATCGAAGCGCTCGGCCATGGACAGCAGCAAACTCTGTTGAAACCAACAACGCTAATAAACCCAGCACAAAAACAATACGCTTCATTGATGAATAAGATGTTGAGCTGTTGTTGGTCATTGACATGACTACGTCTTCTATCTCTTAAACGTTTCTCTCACAACAAATGCTCTGTCAAATGTTTTAAATTGGGTAGTCTTTGAAATATTGCTATGGTATTGCTAGCTACCGGCTACTGCTCTCTATATATAAGGATCTTGCTTGGTGAGGACGGTGAAGAGATTTGTGAAAGTGGGACCTTTAACAAGGATTGTTTGACTCAGCCTTTTCAATCTCCTTGTTTCCCTCCTTTGAAACCACTGCTAGTACTATATTTTTAAACAATTTGGGCTTACTTTTGAGGGCCAAAATCTACAGCTAAAGCAAGGATACATGGGAGGTGAGAGGTTGGAAGAAACAAAGCTAGCTTTTACTTTGAAATTTGCTTGTGTTGTTCGAATTTGACTTTACATTTCCAGCATGAAGTCACAGGAAAGAAAGCAAGAAATAGCCAAATTGGGAAGAAAATTTAAAGCTAACTAACGTAACATTATTTGGACAAGCAAAGCTGTAGTATACGAAGTGGGGCTTTTTTTATTTTTTGCATGGTTATGTTTGACCCAGATTGCTTTCACACGCCCTTCTCAACATCTGACGCAGTGACGCGTGCGTTTACATCTGGTACGCGGTCTTCTTTTGTTGTCTTTGCAGGTTAATATATTCTTCAATTTATTTAGTATTTATGAAAATTAAATGTAACATTTAATGCCCAATCCACGTGTCTCATCCTTAACGACTTGGAAAACATGTAGACAAAGCGGCGTTTTTATTACATTTTTTCTTACGTTTGTTGAGCTTTCTTTGCAAGACGGTGCTTAAAAAACATGACATCGATTTTCATTTACTGGATCCTGTTTGAAACAGTTTGTGTTGGCAAAAGCTTAGCTGTCAATGTCAGAAGCTTTTCAAAGAAGTAGCAGTAGTATATATTAAACAAGTTCCAAGTAGATGGGACAATTTTCAAACAAAGGCATGAGCGTGTTCGAAATTTTCAACGTTCTCTTGCGAATGTGGTCGACCACTAGTTCTATATTTTGAATGTATATTTCTACTATATGTTCAAAAAACCATGATTTATCAAAAACATGACTGTATTTTATTGCCAATTCGAGGCAATTACAAGCGTCATTCATGACGTATCATTAGATTTTAAAAAATAATTGGAAATTTTGGCCCCTCAGTAAACACAAGATGTTTGCTACCAAGTCCACCCTATAAAATCACAATTCACATGGAGTCATTAACTCAACCCTCACCAGCAGTCAATGGATCCGTACGTACTCTCGTGTTGGTAGGTAGGTAGGAGATTGCACCCACCGTATCATGAGAAATATCATGCTCAATTCCTAGCCCGAGGAGGACCAGAGAAAGAGGGGTCTATCCTACAAATTAACCATCCTCATGATGTGTCAAAATGGAACATTGGCTTCTCTGATTAATACTTGGGTTCTCCTGGCAAGTTGCAGTCCTAATTCACATTGGCACTTTGAAATTTGAATCACGTGTCTCAATAAACAATGCAATTCAACATTCGTACCAAAGCTTGTAAACTGCATTGTTTATTGTATTAATTTTTCTCACCTGTAAGGTACTGTAACCAAAAGTCCAAGACAATCAGAGAAGCTTGAAACCACCCCGGCTGAGCCGACCATGCCGCACATACCGGATTGACAAACATGCACGGCTGAGCAGTTTCACACGCTGTACCACCAAACTAGCAACAGCTGTTAACATCTAGCCCCAGTCACGGGCAGAAATTATTTTGTGGTTTCAAGTATAGAACTTAAAAATCTGTTGTTTCTGATCTCAAGTTGAATTTGGCAACATAACTTCTCAAATTCCATAACCATATTTTATTGTAGAGAGCAGAAACAAAATCTGTGAGGTTTACCCTATTATTGTTCCCTGATGGGTAAGGAATAAATTTTCAACCTATTTTATCTTAATTTGAACTTGACCACATATTAAAGTGGTAATTTTTGTCCATAACAGTTCAAGAATTTTCAAATATTCTTAATTTGCAGACAGGGGCCAGAGAAGGAAAATTCCCTTTGTTTAAGTCAACCCTTTTTTATACCCTAGGTCACAGCACCATTTGCTAACTTTTAGATTCCGCAAACTTAATTTCTTATGAGTTTTGTTATTTCTGTAATATCATTTTGGTTATCTTAACCTACACAATTTCCACTTCCTGTACGTGTTACTGAATGAGAACAGGTAAGTCATGAGTTTGTGACCTGCTGCAAGAAGCAGCTTTATTGATTTCCTTAACTACTAATAAAGAAATACTTATATATGAGGAAAAATGTATTTCAATGGGCTCCAAAAGTAGCCAATGGCAACCATGTTTGAAGAAACTTTCTTCTTCCTGGCAGTAAAAAAATGAGAGAGTGAAGAAAAAGTTAAGAGTTGCAGCTCAACTGATTGCTTGATTGGCCTCATTTTCCACATGGTCACAGAAACGCAATGTCATGCTCTTGTTCATTAGACGCTACTACAACATCTCTATGCATGGATGAATTCTATATGGACGTTTGACAGCGAATGGAATCAATAACCTCAAAAATACCAAAAAAAAAAAAAGAATGTTACGCAAAAAGTAATGCGGCACCCAACCAAGCATCAAATCAAAGTATCTAAGAGACCAAACTGGTCAATTAACCAATATCAAACCTGGTAGAATGGCCGTCTCTGAAGTAATTTGACAAAAAATCAGTAATTGTAAAGCAGCACCAAGGGCGCCCCAGTACATAGCCCAATTACATATAAATTTTTGTGGGTTAGGCCACGCTTGAAGGTGGGTTCCTTTTACCGTTGATGTATGTGATCCACAAGCCCGACCCATGATCTACCATAGCCTAATACGTCGTGTCAATATTAAATGACAAATTGCCATCGATTTTCTTAAATAAAAATTCAATTAGTCAATCTCTAATGACATCAAGCAGCACCCCATATCCCCACGACTTCTGTAATTGCAGAGTGAAACAAAATTTTTGGACCGGATGAAGATCCGGTTGGATATAACGGAGCGTCAGGTACTGACAAAAACATCATTTTCATGGGGGATTTCTCAAAATATTATGCTCGAAATCTCGGCAACAAAACAACGTTTTATTGATAGCTGTGAGATGGAAAAAGACCCTCAAAAAGTGGGTTACTCCCCAACCGCGTAACTGGCTTTTATTTTACCCTGCTCGGCTTTGTTCTTCACCTTTTTTTTTTTAAATAAAGATGATTTTGTCACTTCCTTCAGCTATGGAATCATATATTTCATCACCCATTTGTAATTTACTTTTACGAATCTGTGTTTTTCAAGATCCGGTCGTAAGTTAAAGCACTGTTGTTATTTCTTTGTCTCACGGACCGTAATCAGTCTCTGCCCGGTTCTGTTTTTCCTATTGGGTTTCTTACAACAAAATTTTTTGATAGTATATTTATATTATATAAAATATTAAAATTTATTTTTTAATTTTTTATATAAAAATTATATATTATATTTTATGTTAATATAAAATATAAAATATATATTTTAATTTTATTAAATTTAAATATAATAATTATTAAAATTTTAAATCATATTATTTTTATTTTTTATATTTATATTGTATCATATTAATAAACTTATTTTTTTATGTGAATTTTACAATGAATTGCGGCTGAACTTTACAAAATAGTATGGGCTTATGATTGTTGTCTGATACGGTCGTAAAATAAGACCCCTTTTTTTCCACGTAAATTGAATTTTAAAAAATAATTTATGCAATTTTTTTTATGTTTGATTGACATTTAACTATTGATCAACGAAAATAACTTTTTAATCAAAAAAAATATGGTGAAAAACTTGAAAATTATCTTTCGCATTTCAAACGTGTAAATTATAACCAGCCCTTTTTTTTTTTTTTTTCTAACTAAATGTTCCACCTAGATGAAAAATGAAAATCTCCATTGATAACACAAGTAGGTGTTGAAATATGAAACTCTAATTAATTTTTATTTTTTGATATTTAAAGTATTAAAATTAAATTTTAATTATTGAAACTATAAATTTAAGATTCTACTAATAAATTTGTTGACTAATTAATTTTCAACTTTCTATTTTTCAAAAGAAGGGTGAGAAAGATACAAAGGAAGTCAACAGATAATTTTGATAAAAAAATCAAATTCAAACTGTAAAAATTGAACTACACAAATAAATTGCCTTTACAATTATCCAATTCACATGTGATCACTCCTCCAGAGAAATTTCAAGCTGATCATGTGCATCCGAAAGAAATTGTAGAGATAGCTTTTAATTTTCTTTGAAAAAAAACAAAATAAAAAACAAAGTGAAAAACAAATCCAGGACACCAGAAACAGCCAGTGGAAGATTTAATGCCCCAAGTTTAGGCTAAAAAATCAAAATACACCAAAATGACAAAAATTAATAAAAAAACCAAAACACTAGACAAATTTGTCAATTCATAATCAGGAAAATAATAAAAAGAAAACAGGGAAATCGAACGCCCCACCACCACATTGATTTTATCCTCCCGTCTTCTTCGATACCCAACAAAACCAGCTCCCATTTACCCTCACCCCACCCACCCTCCTCCATTCCGCTCTCGTTGTTTCCCATTCTCAAATTCAACCTCAAGGAAAAAAAAGGATACCCAAAATCAAGGCTTCAGTTTTTGTCAATGAAACGAAGTACCCCGGATTCCCAGATACCCGGAGCTGACCAGAAAATGAAGAAAGTAAAAGTAGAATCTGAAGAAGAAGGAGAAGAAGGAAGTGGGTTGATGAATTTAGATGAAAATCTGTTGTATGAGATTTTGAAACACGTGGATGCGAGGACTTTAGCTATGGCCTCGTGTGTTAGCAAGCTGTGGCTCAAAACTGCCAAAGACGAGCGGCTTTGGGAGCTGATCTGTACCAGGCACTGTGCTAACATCGGCTGTGGAACTCAACAGCTTAGATCTGTGGTTTTGCCTCTTGGTGGCTTCCGCCGGCTACACTCCCGTTACCTTTGGCCGCTTTCCAAGCCACAATATGCTTCGACTTCTTCTTGGGCTCCGCCCCCACCCAAGATTATTAACTCCAAGCCACCTGCTCGGTTGGGGAAAGATGAGGTTCAGCTTTGTCTGTCTCTTCTCTCTATTCAGTATTATGAGAAGATGAATTTCATTAACAGAGACAGATCATTCTAATTAATTACTTACTATGTGTAGCATTATAAATATATGAATCGGATATAAATATAACTTTAATTTCTAGTTTCGGGTTTTGTTTTACTTTTGGTTCATGTATTGTTTTCTTATATTTGACTTGGGTTTTTTTTTTCTTATTTCTTTCATTTTGGAATTTTTGTACTTAAGCTGGGTTTTGTGAACTAGATCTGTAATTCTGTGCTAATGTTAAGTATGAATTGAAACAATTGTTCCTTAACTTTATGATTATATATTAGATTTAATGTTACTGTTTTGAAAGTGTTCTTGCAACACATTTTTGGTAGGAAAGTGGAAAGGGCCAAGGAGGAGGGGTGAGAGTGGCAAATGAGGGGTATTGATTGGATTCTATTTGGGAAGATAAGCCTGGATGGGCAGAACAAAACAGGGGGTCCAGTTGGTAACTTTTATTAATGTCTGGTACTGCTAACTTTTATCTGCCAATTTTTTCCATGGCTGGATTGTAAGAGACAGAGACTTTAGGTTGTGGTATTTTTGGTATTGCATTTTAGATCTGTTTTTCTGCATGAGCCAAAGTACCTGAGAGAAGGATATCGTCCTATTGTTCGTCCTGTTCTCCTGAGGAATAGTAGTATCTTACCTAAGGCATCAAGCCCAAGTCGTTTCTTGGCTAATGAATGTTTTCTATTCTCCTGATAAGGCCTGTCAAAACTTATTTCCTTTTGTTTTCGGAACTAGTTTCAGGCTTTCAGCTTGGTTTTTGCCCGCATTTCAGGGAAGAGAAACTGGGTTAGTTACTTGTTAGGCTTCCAAATTGTCACCGCTAACTGGGTTACATGTGGGGGAGTTCCTATCTTTGATGGGCAAATTTCCAGTATTGAAATGGGACCGGTATTTTTGTCATTTTCTACTGCGTCAGTGCGTAGTTGGAATCAGTAATCTGATTTATTCAAGCATGCTCAACCGCATAAGTTTTAGCTATTAAGTTGAAGCATGTGGTTTTGACTTAAGCTAACTGAACTTGTTTTAGAAGTTTAATACTTGAACTACTTTTGTTTTATTCTTTGAAAAAGATAGCATACGATACAGTGGAGAGGAAATTTGTTGCATTATTTATTCCTCTGTTCCATTTGTGAGTAGGACTATATAATCAAGCTGATCAGCTGAGCTTATACTGGTTGAGCTTGGGTTTGACCATTTCATGTTTAATCTTGGACTGATAAATTCTAAATAAGCTTGAAAATGAGTTGATGGAAGCTTGGCGTACTAATCAATGCCAAATCAAAGTCTAGCTGATTTGTACAACGAGCCAATATAATTTCAAGCTTAAAGTAGGGTTAATTAAACAATGACTTTGTTACAATCTAAAACCTCAATTATGATAAAATCCATGTGTTCTGGTGTCAAGTATACTGGATGGTTACATTTTTAGTTACAATAATCAGAATTCAAATCTTGAAACTTTCAACGAGCGAAAAAAACCCTCACTTAACATAAAGAAATGAAGTGAACAAGCCCTGAGTTTAGGTAATCTGTGCTTAGTTATGATAAAGTTTGTTATCAGATTTCAGGCACTGTAAGAATGTTCACATATTTTTAGTTCTTTTGGCATGCGAGTAAATTAAAACTGCAACCTGCAAATAAGTAAGAGTGTTCAAGTAGTGATTCAGGGTATTTCGTTCCAAGTTCTTTCCACATAAATGCTGTCAGAAGTCGCCATAGATGAAAATAATGGATATTCTATTCTCGTCAACTGTTGTAATTTGACCAACTTTCCATTCTGTGCTGAAACCAGCAACTTCCATACCATTTTTATATTCCTAGTATTTATTGCCTAGGGGGACTCGTGGAAGTTGCAGGAAAAGGAACATTTTCTAACTTCTTATGTCATTCAGTCACATTTTAGTTCCAATTTGGCTATGATTTCCTAAGAACTACCCACCGGTCAAATAAAATTTCTTTGCAGGATCCGATGGATAAAACGTGCGTATTAGAACTTAGAAGATGGTTTGGCAATCTAATTTCCAGTTCTTATCTTGTTTGAAAAAAAAAAAAGATTGATCGTTTGAACATTTCAAATACTATTTAATCATTTTGTATAGGTTTATTTTTACCTGTTAAATCGATAGTAAATCTCGTAACAGGACACAATCCAATAATTCTTGCATCAACGATATTGATAAGTTGCACCATTATTATGCAATTACCAAAGGCGATTCAAGTCAATTTAACATTAACATTGTGTTAACTATTTCATTGGATATTTGGATTGGGATATGAAATCCAGAAATAATAAAGAGGGAAAATACAGTACACGAAAGTCTTTTCTTTCTCCTTAATCTTTTTTTCTCTTTTTGGCGCCTTCTACGAAAAGTAACCAGTGATAAATGACCAAACTTTGAAGATTTAACATAGAGGATTTGAATTCTATGAATTTTGTTGGAAATTTCAGTTCACCTTATTTAATAAAAGGTAATAGCAGTTGCTAGAAAAATAATAATTGGAAAGTGAAAATTAGAGTAAATTTCTATGTCCATTTCAACCATCTATTATTACTGTCACCTTTTCAAACTGTTAAAATATCCCTTCAATAAAATTAACTAATCTCTTATGCATTGGACAAATCCAACCATGCCTTGTCAAAAATACCATGGAATCTGGTTTTCAACAGTATATTTTGGCATGCTCCTTCTGGGTAGCTTCCTGTCTGCTTTACTTCTTTGGTGACTGCAATGGAGAGTTCAATTTTCGTCTTCCATGTGTCAGTTAATTCCTGAGAAGTAAATTGTGGAAGCATCCAATTGGTCATTGGCCGTCTGGATGCCTAGAAGTATACCCGTCCGTATTGACTCGATCACTTGCATCTTTTATTCAAGTATTTCTAAATTGTGGAGCTAAAACAGAGACAACCCTGTCAAAGCCAAATAGCTTCATATCATGTCAGCATCGCCAGACGCCTTCATGCTGAGGATATTCATATTCACACTCTTCAATCTCACTCCCTCATTTTTCTCATCTCACCCTTATGTTGATTTTTATAAAAAGTTTATTACTAATTCAATTCTTTTTAAAGGGCCTGTCACATCTGTGTGGTGATGCGAGCTTGTAACTCATTCACTTGTGGATTCTGGTCCCGCACTTGCTTTTTGAAAAGTGTTTTATGTTTACGCAGGCAATTACGCAGGCCTTGGGGGGGGCGGTAATTAAATAATTCTCAAACGCTCTTGTTAGAAACATAGAATGAGAGAAAAGAAACAATTTTCTATGTTTTTTCCGAACACCTGAATTTTCCAGGAAAGTCTGATTGCCTAAGTAACAACGAGATCAATTGTTCCAAATCCTAAAATTTTTTACAGGGTCATTAAATTTGACTTGAAACCATTAACTTATGAGTTATGACCTCATTCCTTGCTCAATAAAGAAAAGACAGGTAAAAATTAACCCTTGAAAGCTCTTACGTGTTTGAATGGGCCACTTCCATTTTCGTAAGATCAAATTTAAGGTCTGAGGTTCTCAGCAGCTGATATCAGTTCAGAAGCTACTGTTGCATGAATTAGTATATATAGGTATCAGCATGGACTCCTTTTGTATCAAGCAGATAACAAAATTTCTCAATCAAGAAACAAATTTTAGCTCTCCTACCTAGTTAAACAAACCAAGCCTTTATCACCTAATCTCAAATCCTAATGGCCGGAAACGTCAAGTCTTTATGCTTTGTTCTCGTTCTTCTTCTAACTTCATTGCTTATCACTTCTGGGGCTCGTCCTCTTAATAATGCAGAATACTCAGGCAGCTCTATAACCAAAGGTATCGAGGTTTTCTTGGATGGTTTGAGCCTTGAAGGAATCAAGACTGGAGGTCCAAGTCCAGGAGGAAAAGGTCATGCATTTTCTGATGCTGTCGCCAACTCAGGTCCAAGTTCCGGCGGCGAAGGACATTAAACTAGCGTCTGATGCAAAGCCTGCAATCGATCTAGTGATTCTTTGGCGTTTCAATTTGTTTACTTCATTACTATTATTGTTATTTTTTATTTTTTTCTTTGCTGTGTTGTGGTCATTCTCTAGTAATGTCTTCGAAAAGTTTTGGCGCGATTGCAGGCAGTTAATTAGTTGATAGCGAGTCTATCAGATCTAATTTTTGTGATTCTGAGTCATGTATGAGAGTTTTGATATCTGATAACTATTGTTCAATTATTAATTTTTTTCATATTACACTTTTTTTTCTTACATTCCCTAACTTTGTTTTGTTGATGTGAGAGAGATAGAGAGAATATTTTGCAGTGCATGACATCTTCCAATGGAGTTTCCCATCCGGAAATTTGTAGGGGACATTGCTAATAAGGAAGAGGCTTGCACTTTCAAAAAATATTGTCATTCAGGAACTTGTCATCGAGTGCTCAACCGAGAGAGAAGAGCCACATAGAATCCATCTACATGGCTGCATTTGCATATTAATATCTCACATAGATTACATTAATCAACGTTCAAGACCTGCAATCCATCTGTAATTTTGTTGCCGCCCAGTACTGATGAAAGAGCAAAAATAGTATTCCAGGTTTGCTAAGTATGGGAGAATCCAAGCTAGCTTACAGGGTCTGGAATGTACATGGACCATAGCTGTGCTTGTCTGCTTCCATCGTGTTTCTCTCGTCTGTCAATGGCTTTGATTTATCCTTCACTTGTTGGGCCGTTGGGTTAAATGATAAAAGCCGAAGTGGGAGTTATTTTGGGCTTAAAAGCCCAAATTTAGAGTCGAGAGAAGCAAACAGCAAATCATGCGTAACTTTTAAACGCCACGAGTTTTACCTTGCCGCCTTACATTCACGAGCCAAGCAAAAAATTTGAACAGTAAAAAAGCCCTGAAAAATTCCCCAAATTTTTAATCGCCGGGACAATAATAATTCACAGTAAAAACCCGAATAAGAAAGACAAACAACGATTAACCACCCATAACGGCACCAAAACCCCTCCCCCACTCCCGAAATGGGAAGCTCAAACGCTGCGACGACGACGGCGACAATTCCGCCACCAAGACTGACTCCGAGAGGAATTTCGTAACCGCTGTGCCCCTTTGAGAGAAAGCGAAAAAGTCCTTGCTTACCATAATTTCATCGGTGAATTCATGATTTTTTTGAATAAATATATATAAAATATATATAAAAATTATAAATAAAATTTAAAATAATATATTACTATATCTTATAATTATTTTTGAGTTTTCACATCTTAAAAGAATTACATTATTGTTAATATATTCAAGTACATATGTTGAAGATATATAATTAAATAATCATTCAATTAAAAATTAATTAAAATTTTTTTTAATAAACCGCTCTTTATTAAAGACATCGACGAATTTATCCAACAATGAGGATATCCAGTTGGATTGATATTAAATTATTAATAAAGAGTGATTGAAGGATATAGTATCTAGATTTTGTGACATTAGGTTTTGAAAAGTGAGCTTCAGGAATTCATGAATTTATCAGTGGGAAATTGACAATACTTGCGCTCAATGTATTCAGACTTCTATTTCTGTTTCATTGAATTATTTAAATTTATTAGTGGGAAATTGACAACACTTGCGCTCAATTTGATTGGATTCTTGAACGTAAGGATGTATTCAAACTTTCTCTGTCTGTTTCATTGAATTATTTGTTAAATTAAATGATTGAAACTTTGAAGTTTCTTTGAGGCACTTGGAAGTGGGGAATAGTATATTTCAGGGCAAGGTCAAATAATGCAGCATTGATGCAAAACAAAATTGCATTTGATGTCCAAGAAATTAAGGAATTGGAGACGTTGAGAATTGGAAACGACTGTAGAAATTAAGAATATATATCTACTAGGGGAGTTTTCCATTTTCAATTCAATTCTAGCCAAAGGGATTTAAGCTAATCATGAACGTTTGAAATTGATGAAAGATAATCAAGTCCTATTTCACAGGTTTTTTTGGTGAATCAACAACTTTTCCACAAATCGGACTGCAATAAGATTCCATTCATTTAAGATTATGATCCTAGTAGCTTGTTTTTGCAATGAATTTCTTCTTTCCAAAATAAAATTTTTATTGAAATCAATTTTGTTCTTAGTTCCAGAACTGTTGAGAGCAAAAGTGGACCAATTTTTTCAATAATAACCGGAGCTACTAGCTCGCAAGAAGATCTGGAATTAATTTTAGATAAACCTTGAACCTTGAGCAGGTGGTATACTTTTCCTAGGCCGCCCAAGAGTAATAAAAGCAACACAGATCTAAGTTGTCAAGGCCTTCCCAATCCAATCCTCAATCTTTCACGGGATTTATGGCCAACCCATTTATCATAATCGTTCTTCCTTTGATTCTGTGCTGCCCGCTTTCATCTTCATCTTTTGATATTCTAAGTGAGGGTTCATCACTATCAGTGGAAACTACAGACGATATTTTGATCTCAGCAGATGGAACTTTCAGTGCCGGATTTCACCCCATTGGCCAAAACGCCTATAGCTTTGCCATATGGTTCAACAAACCTTCCTGCAGTTATAACTGTACCCTGATCTGGATGGCAAACCGTGACCATCCTGTCAATGGTAGACAATCAAAGCTCTCCCTGATCAAAACTGGTAATCTTGTTTTGACAGATGCTAGACATATCATTGTTTGGGCCACAAACACCTATTCCTTATCGCCTACACGCTTAAAACTCTATGATAGCGGCAATCTGGTCCTGCATGATTTTGAGGGTGTCAAACTTTGGCAAAGCTTTGATTCACCGACAGATACGTTGCTTCCTCTTCAACAATTCAACAAGGACTCTAGGCTTGTCTCGTCAAGAAGCCAAATCAACTACTCTTCAGGTTTCTTCAATTTTTATTTCGACACTGATAACGTCCTATGTCTTTTGTATGATGGTCCTGAGGTTTCAAGTGTCTATTGGCCAAGTCCTTGGCTTTTGAGATCGGAAGCTGGAAGGTCCACGTACAATGATACCAGAATCGCAGTACTAGATACCTTGGGCAATTTTAGTTCGACTGATGATTTTACCTTCAAGTCAGCTGATTATGGCTCAAAGATTCAGAGAAGATTGAAGCTTGATTCTGATGGCAATATTCGACTATACAGTTTAAGCGAAGGGGGAGAAAAATGGGTTGTTTCATGGCAAGCCTTCCCTCAACCATGCCTCGTTCATGGTAGTTGCGGACCAAACAGTATATGCATCTTCATTCCTAATTATGGTAGGAAGTGTTCTTGCATTCCAGGACATAAGATGAAGAAGCACACAGATTGGTCCCTTGGTTGTAAACCTGAGTTTGATCTTTCTTGTAATGAATCTGAGGCTGGTTTTCTGAAACTCCGTCATTCTGAATTTTACGGCTACGATTATGGTTTGTTTCCAAATTACACCATAGAGCAGTGTAAGAACTTATGCCTTCAAGTATGCAATTGCAAAGGTTTCCAATTTATAGCCATTGAAACCATCCAACCATATACTACATATTGTTATCCCAAGACTCAATTATGGAATGGACATCGTGAGCCAAGTTATACTGCAGACTTCTATTTGAAGTTGCCAAAGGCAAATCTGTCCGCATACAAGCCCGTTAAAGATTACAAGCTAGAATGCTCTCCACGAGTTGAGCAACTGGACCGGACATATTCAAAAAGCCCTGAAAGATCACCACTGAAATTTGTCCTTTGGTCTGCCAGTGTGATTGGAGGAATCGAGTTCTTTATTATCTTTTTAGTCTGGTATTTCTTGATTAGAACTCATCAAGATTCATGCCCAAGGGGAGGCTACCATCTCGCTGCAGCAAGCTTCAGAAAATTCGTTTATGCTGAGCTTGAAAAGGCAACGAATGGTTTCAGAAAAGAAATTGGAAGAGGCTCTGGAGGAATTGTGTACAAAGGCAAACTGTCAGATGATCGAATTGCTGCTATCAAAAGACTGATTGATGCAAATCATGGGGAAGCTGAATTCCTAGCAGAAGTGAACACAATTGGGAAGCTTAATCACATGAACTTGATAGATTTGTGGGGATACTGTGTGGAGGGAAAGCACAAGCTGTTGGTCTACGAGTACATGGAACATGGATCCTTGGCGGAAAACCTCTCTTCCAAAACACTCGATTGGGAAAAAAGATTTCAAATTGCAGTGGGAACAGCAAAAGGCCTAGCTTATTTACATGAAGAATGTTTAGAGTGGATTCTCCACTGCGATATAAAGCCTCAAAACATTCTCATAGACTCTAATTACCAGCCAAAAGTTTCAGATTTTGGCTTGTCATGGTTGTTAAACAGAGGTGAAGTTAAGCATTCAAAAATCTCAAGAATACGAGGAACAAGAGGTTACATGGCCCCTGAGTGGGTGTTCAACATGCCCATTACCTCCAAAGTGGATGTTTATAGCTATGGAATCGTTTTATTGGAGTTGGTTACCGGAAGGAGCCCATCAATGGTAGTCCATGGAATAGACGGTGAGCATGTGTTGCAAAGAACGTTAACTAAATGGGTTAGAGATCAGACGAGTTTAACGGAAACATGGATGGAGGAGATCATAGACCCAACATTGGAGGGGAAATATGACAAGGCTGAGATGTCGATCTTGGTTAAAGTAGCTCTTCAATGCGTGCAGGAAGACAAAGACGCAAGACCGGCGATGGGTGAAGTAGTTCAGATGCTGCTTCGCCTTGGGGACAAACAATAAGCAACGAAGGCATTGTCATGTCCCTGTCCCTTTCTGTCGGTCCATTACGTCGGCTTACCAGCATAACTTACCAGCATAACTAAACGCACTTAATTGTATAGTTATACTATGCTTTATATATACATATACTATTTTCTTTGTTATGATACGTTGTGGGTTACTAATTAAGCATAAAATGGATTGAAAGGATAGTAATTCCCTGAGAATAATATGTTTTGAAAAGTCAGATTCAAGATATTGCAAATCCTTTTTCTTTCCCAACTGCGAAAAGTCTTGCTCAATATGTTCACAACAAGAAGATGGAGCTTCTTCAATAAGTGGGCAAATATTTTAAGTTAATTTATTAATTTTTTATTGAAAAATAAATTAATATAAAAAATTTCAAACAAAAATAACATGTATAATAATTTTTTTATAAAAAATATAATTTTTTCTACAATAAAAATAATATTTGCATAATTAAGATTAACTAAATGATTTTGAATGAATATAATGTAAATATTATTATACCATAAATAAATCATCTTTTGATATACATTTGTAGATATATACACACATAAAAATATATATTAATTTAATAGAATTTTGCTTATAAAATTTTAAATATAAATATAATATTTGAAAAAAAAAATCAATATATTTAATTTTATCATTTACTTTTAGCAAACAAATATATTTCATTTTTATTCATTAAAAGCTAGAGAATAACAAATGCCTATTTGCTTATATAAAATGAAAACAAGAATGAAATCATTAGTCTACATTGGTTAAAGATGTTTTTATTTTTATTAATTCACATTTTATTATTTATATGAATTTTAAAAATATTTTATTTGTTTTTTTACAAAATATATATTATAATGAACTTACTTATCATCTAAAGTGTAAATATTTAATTATTAGATAAACAATGAAATATATTCCTACATGAGTCTCAATTTAGTGAGAGCAAATATAATAAAAAAAATTTTCCATAGGAGAAAGCTTTAAATTTCTAAAACTTCTGAGATTTTTTTTACAAGATTTCAATAGAGGCAATTGTAAGGATGCCAACCTAATTGAATCTGATGGATTTTAATTTGATTTGATCTTATAAAAGTTTTATTTTAAATCAAATTTTGTATGATAATAAAAAAAAATCAAGATCAAATTTAAGTTCAAATTTTAAATAAACTCACTTCAACCTACTCAACATATATAAAAATATTTTTTATTATTTATTTAATTTTATATATTTTTATATTTATTTAAATTTATATTTATATTTAAAAATAATAATTTATTGATCTCGAATAGAATTAATTACAAATTTATAAAATATCAAGTTAAGTAAGATTTAAATATAAAAAAATAAAAAATATCAAATTAAATAAAATTTGAATATTATAAATATAAAATCAAATTAGATATGCACCCAATCTGACCTAATTAAATCCAGAGATAATTGGTCCTTCTCTCTTCTGTGTAGATACATCCCTGTTTAAGAAATACAAGTTAATTTTTTTAAAAAAGAGAAATATAGGGTAAATATGTTATTCAAATCTCTCGTGTAAAAATAAAATGTGTCGTATCTGATAACTTAAAATAAATAATTATAAATCATATATTCGAGATAATTTTAACAAGTGATCATCAATAAAATTCAAATTCAAAATCTTTTCATCTAAAAAATAAATTTTAATCAATTAAATCAATCACTTATTAATTACAAATAAATTATTTTCTTTCTATTTCTTTTTATGTACAATCAATGAAGAATTTGAAATTCAAACACAGTTCAAAATCACTTATTTTTCTCTCTTTAAAGTTAAAAACAGAAGAGGGGTGATTGATCAGATTGGCATCTAATTGGATAATGATGATGATGTGATGCTGCTCTCACCTGTATTTATTAATTTGAGCATTAATAAAAGTGGATGGGTTGGCAGTTTCTGGTAGCCACCATGAATTTGTTGGTTGTGCATTAATGCAGAGTCGCATTCACAATATATATCACATTCAAATATGTAGAGTTCCCTTTTTTTATAATGGAAGCAATATTTCCATGTATTTAAGATCTTCATTTAATGAATAAATAAAAAATCAGATGGAAGTCAATTTTTGATAGCTTAAAATAATCTGGACTCTGAGTCTTGAGTACCAATTATATCATCTACATAACCGGCCGGGGCTACCTTGCTAGAAGATTTAGAGCAATTAATTCTAGTCTTTTTCAGATGACACTGTACTGGTGCTGGTGATGGTACACTTCTCCCAACGCCGCCGGTGAGTGGAACCACCTAAACTTTCTTGTCTCTCTATTTATATTCAATAACATCACATTAATTTTGCACTTTGCTCTAAGTTGCCATGGCTACGCCATTTATCATACTCCTTCTATCCTTAGTTCTCTGCTGCACATATTTGTCTCATTCGTCTGATAATCTAAATGCTGGGTCATCGCTGTCAGTGGAAACCATAGGTGATGTTTTGATTTCGCGAGATGGAACTTTCAGCTCCGGATTTCATCCCATTGGTCAAAACGCCCATTGCTTTGCCATATGGTTCAACAAACCATCCTGCAGTGACAATTGCACCGTCGTCTGGATGGCAAACCGTGACCATCCTGTCAATGGTAGACAATCGAAGCTATCCCTCACCAAAACTGGTAAACTTATCTTGACAGATGCTAGACATATCGTTGTTTGGGAGACAGCCACCGCTTCCCTGTCCCCTACATATTTAAAACTTTACGATAGCGGCAATCTTGTCCTGCATGATATGGAGGGTGTCACACTTTGGCAAAGCTTTGATTCGCCCACCGATACCCTGCTTCCTCTTCAACAGTTCAACAAGGACACCAAACTTGTCTCATATAGAAGCCAAATGAACTATTCTTCAGGTTTCTTTATTCTTTATTTCGACACAGATAATGTCCTCTGTCTTGTGCACAAAGGTCCTGAAATTTCAAGTGTTTATTGGCCAAGCCCTTGGCTTTTGAGATGGGAAGCTGGAAGATCTACGTACAACGACAGCAGAATTGCAGTATTAGATCCCTTGGGCAATTTTAGTTCAACTGATGATTTTACGTTCAAGTCAGCTGATTATGGCTCAAAGATTCAGAGAAGATTGAAGCTTGATTTCGATGGCAATATTCGACTATATAGTCTAAGTGAAGGGGGAGAAAAATGGGTTGTTTCATGGCAAGCCTTCTCTAAGGCATGCCTAGTCCATGGAAGGTGTGGACCAAACAGTCTATGCACCTACGTTCCTAATTATGGAAAAATATGTTCTTGCCTTCCAGGATACAAGATGAAGAATCACACAGATTGGACCTTTGGTTGTGAACCTGAATTTGATCTTTCTTGTAATGAATCTGAGGCTGGTTTTATAAAACTCCGTCATTCTGAATTTTACGGCTATGATTATGGACTGTTTCCAAACTACACCATAGACCAATGTAAGAACTTATGCCTGAAGATATGCAACTGCAAAGGTTTCCAGTTTCGATTCGTTAAAGCCCACCTACCATATGGTACATATTGTTATCCCAAAACTCAATTACGAGATGGATATCGTGAGCCAAATTATAGTTCAGACTTTTATTTGAAATTGCCCAAGGCCAACCTATCCTCCTTCAACGAGCCTGTTCAAGAATACAAGCTAGAATGCCCCGCACGAGTTGAGCAACTGGATCGAACATATCCAAAAAGCCCTGAAAATTCAGCACTTAAGTTTGTCCTTTGGTCTGCATGTGTAGTCGGAGGAATCGAGTTTTTAATCATTTTCTTGGCGTGGTGCTTCTTGATTAGAACTCATCACAATTCACGCCCAGCGGGAGGATGCCATCTTGCTGCAAGAAGCTTCAGAAATTTTAATTATGCTGAACTTGAGAAGGCAACAAATGGTTTCAAGAAAGAGATAGGAAGAGGCGCCGGAGGAATTGTGTACAAAGGCAAACTGTCAGATGACCGAGTTGCTGCTGTCAAGCGTCTCATTCTTGATGCGAACCAAGTGGAAGCTGAATTCCTAGCAGAAGTGAACACCATTGGGAAGCTTAATCACATGAACGTGATAGATTTGTGGGGTTACTGTGCAGAGGGAAAGCACAAGCTTTTGGTCTATGAGTACATGGAACACGGATCATTGGCAGAAAACCTCTCCTCCAAAACCCTTGACTGGAAAAGGAGATATGAAATCGCCGTTGGAACTGCAAGAGGGCTAGCTTATTTACATGAGGAATGCTTAGAGTGGGTTCTCCATTGTGACATAAAACCTCAAAACATTCTCATTAACTCTAATTACCAGCCTAAAGTGTCAGATTTTGGCCTGTCTTGGTTGCTAAACAGGGGTGACGTCAAACATTCAAAGATCTCAAAGATCAGAGGAACTAGAGGTTATATGGCACCTGAGTGGGTTTTCAATATGCCCATCACCTCCAAAGTGGATGTTTATAGCTATGGAATCGTTCTTTTGGAGTTGGTCACTGGAAGGAGCCCTTCAATGGTAGTCCATGGAACAAAAGGTCAAGAGGAAGAAGAGCAAGGAACTCTTTTAGTTAAATGGGTGAAAGAACAGATGATGATCCAATCACCAGAAACGTGGATGGGAGTGATAATAGATCCCACGTTGGATGGAAAATATGACGAGGATGAGATGCTGATCCTGGTTTCAGTAGCTCTAAAATGCGTGGAAAACGATAAAGATGCAAGGCCGACAATGGGTCAAGTAGTTCAGATGCTTCTTCGCCATGGAGAAAACCTATAAGCAGCAAAAATACATTGTCATGCCTTATATAAACGAATAAACTTGTTATGTAGTATGCTATATTTGTCGAGCGCCTGTACCGATGTAACTAAGCCCAGTTCTTGTATCTAAATTAGGTTTGGGCAATAAAAATGACGTTGTCTGAGCTTCATTTTGTATATATAAATTTTTACCCTAGCAAACTCAGACATAAGGAGGAGATCAATCGAGAAAGTCTGAATGGACCCCAAGTGTTACGGGAGAAGCCTAGCTACCCAAGCTGTGGGTTGCAGAATTAAAGGATCTAAGACCCCGTTTCCAATCCAAAGTATCAATCAGAGTTTTAGTAAACAGTTACAAGACAATTGCCCAGTTTTTGCCCTATGGGCCTCTTCAGGACCAACAGCCTTTCTTCTGGATCCTAGACGGCCCCTGCAAATTGCCTGTGCCCACCACCAGTGGTATTAATTTGGGCTCTGTGGCTAACTGCAGCCCAGGAAGAATGTTCCAATCCAATTTATTGTCGAAATTAGGCGTAACAACAGCATTCCAGGAATTTTTTTATCAATCAAACATAAAAATCCTAAACCTTAAATTTTAAAGTATTATCTTTAGAATAAAAGGGTTTAATAAGATTGTTATTTGACAACATTTTTTTATTAGTGCTTGATTACCCAATCTGCACATAGAAACAATCTAAGCTTTTATAAGTGCTTGGTACTATCAGTCAAAATTCAAAAAAATGCCAATAAAACTACCACTTGCACTCGGAATTTTTTGCTTTGGAAATGATATTTATGAACATTACACTGGAATGAGACTGCCTAGGCATCATCAAGCAACTCAAATTAGCGGAAAGGAACTTTTCACCTGTTGGATTATTTGTAGAAGAAACTAGGGAAAAGATGAAACAGTTTAGAGCATGTTCCATTGCACACACCTTGCGGAAGGGAAATGTGGCCTCCCACAAGTTAGCCAAACACGATTTGCAGATCACAAAGAATAAAGTTTGTTAGAGGATTGTCCAAGCATAATTACTCATGTTATAAATGCTGATTGTAACTTTGCTCGTTGAATGAATGAAATCACATTGTTCTTTAAAAAAAAGACTTAAAATCAAAAGAATGCGACATTTGTTCCAATTTGGTCTGCTAGGTAACAGTGTTTCTGAATTTTATCGGCATTTGACAGATTAACTATGCTAAAGACAAAGTCAATGTACTTTTTATTTTTGTGAGATTGCCGGTGTTTTACTTTTCCAGTTCACGTTTAATGCACAAGAAGACTTTGATATTGTCAAGTCAATAAGGGGATACTTTCAGCTTTATATCCATTCTTCTGCATGGTATAGCCAAAGGGCACGCAACCTGCGATAACGACAAACAGTACACTCTATTCTGTCTGAGACAATTCGATCTCAATTCAATTCATTGGTTGCTTTCCATGCCGTGGCAAGGCCAATTTTCTCCCCTCATTTTGTTTTTCTTTTCCAAGAACCGTTTTTTTTTTAAGATAATAAATCTACTTGCAAAAGATTGAGGTTTTTAGTTTTAAAAAAAAAGTCGACTTCTTTTCAACATCAATAAAATTTTAACCACTAATAAAAGTTACATTCATGATCCTTGAAAGAATATGTAATGTCGTTAGTGCCGAATACAAAAATCCGAAAATCGGTCCCATTATGATTTATGAGACTTCACAATTCCTGAATTCACACTTCACATTGAAAGTGATCCACAGTTAAAAATCAATCAGCGATGGGCAAAGGGCCCTATCTTCTGACTCAACACGTTTTTGAATTGATAACCAAACCACTAGTTAGGGCAGAGTCAGAAGAAATAATAATAAGAAATTACTAGTGCGGATAAATTGTTGCAGAGTGCTGAAGTAGGTAATGGGAATGTTGCGTGCGTGATTTTTGCAGCCAAGAAATATTCATGGCCAAGTGTGTTCAATCTATGGTTCTCGTTTTCTTCCTTTTCCCGTGGTTAACATCATCAGCTGTTCCAATTCTAAGGCGAGGATCGTCTTTGTCCGTAGAGAATCGAGATGACGTTTTGATCTCGCCGAGTGGCATATTCTCCGCAGGTTTTTACCCCGTTGGTCAAAACGCTTATTGCTTCGCCATCTGGTTCACCAAGCCTTGCCAGGACGGTAGCCACACTATAGTTTGGATGGCAAACCGAGATACACCTGTTAATGGAAGGCGCTCAAAGCTCTCCATACTCAAAACTAGTAATATTATCTTAACTGATGCAGGTCAATTCATAATCTGGACGAGCAACAACACGGTTACAGACTCTTGGTCACAGTTAAAGCTCCTTGATTCAGGTAATCTTGTTCTCCAAACTCGGAATAATCTTACTCTTTGGCAAAGCTTTGATTCACCAACAGATACACTTCTTCCTAAACAACCACTCACTCGATACACAAGCCTTGTATCATCACGAAGCCAAAATGACTACTCTTCAGGTAACTTCAAGCTGATGTATGACTATGATAATGTTCTTCGTCTTGTTTTGGATGGTCCTGAGACATCCAGCATCTACTGGCCTGATTCAACCCTCTTGGACTACCAACAAGGAAGAACTAGATACAATGATAGCAGACTTGCCGCGTTCGACCCTTCAGGTTATTTTATATCTTCTGACAAAGTGGAGTTTAGATCAACTGATTTTGGTAAAGGACCTTGGAGAAGATTAACGCTTGATTTTGATGGTAACCTTAGATTATACACTCTTGAAGAGCAAAAAGGGATTTGGTCTGTCACATGGCAAGCTATGTCTAAATCTTGCAGAATTCATGGAATCTGTGGACCAAATAGTATATGTAGCTACGATCCAGGTTGGGGCCCAAAGTGCTCTTGCCCACCAGGGTTCAAGATGAAAAACCAAGAAGACTGGAACGATGGATGCGAACCAGAATTTGAACTTCCATGCGGCAATCATGATTTCAACTTTGTCAAACTCCGTCATGTTAATTTTTTTGGCTACCATTACGATATCCTCCGTAATTACACCTTAGAGAACTGTGCCAAGGCTTGCTTGAATTTGTGTTGCGTAGCCTTTCAATACAGATATTTCCCAGAGGATGGTGCCTATCGCTGTTATCCAAAATGGGAATTGCGTAATGGTCATCGTTACTCTAGTTACAATGGAACCTTGTACTTGAAACTCCCAAAATCTTTCGCCGACAACAAAACTGTTGAAGAATTCAAATTAAATTGCTCGAGCAAGCAGACAAAACAGCTAGAAAGAGCTTATCTGAAGAAAACTGGATATGGATCATTAAAGATTCTGATTTGGTGCGCTTCTATAATTGGATTCCTTGAGATGATCTGCATCTTTCTGGTGTTCAGTTTCTTGCACAAAACAGGGAAAAGCTCTGATGCAACGACACGAGGCTACCTTCTTGCTGCAACTGGATTCAAAAATTCACCTATGATGAGTTGAAAAAGGCAACACGGGGTTTCAGTGAAGAGATTGGACGAGGAGGAGGTGGAGTGGTTTACAAGGGAATTTTGTCTGATCAACGAATTGCAGCAATTAAGCGACTTAATATTGAAGCTAATCAAGGGGAGGAGGAATTTCTTGCAGAAGTAAGCACAATAGGTAGGCTTAACCACATGAACTTGATTGAGATGTGGGGATACTGCGCAGAGGGGAAGCATAGGCTTTTGGTGTATGAGTACATGGAAAAGGGATCATTAGCAAAGAACCTCTCGTCTAATTCACTTGATTGGAAGAAGAGGTTCGATATTGCAGTGGGCACAGCCAAGGGTCTGGCTTATTTGCATGAAGAATGCTTAGAATGGGTTCTGCACTGTGATGTCAAGCCTAAGAACATACTGTTGGATTCTAGCTATCATCCTAAAGTAGCAGATTTTGGTCTATCCAAACTGCTCAATAGGGACAGTCTTAAAGGTTCAAGCTTTTCCAAGATTAGAGGAACAAGAGGTTACATGGCGCCTGAGTGGGTTTACAATCTGCCCATCACCTCCAAAGTGGACGTCTATAGCTATGGGATTGTCATCTTGGAAATGATAACAGGGAGGAACCCGACTATAGGTGTCCCTGCTGTTGAAACTAGTGGAGAAGTATGGCACCAGAAGTTAGAAGCTTGGGTCAAAGGGAAGAAAATTGGAGCTGCTGCAACAACGTCTTGGGTTGAAGAGCTAATAGACCCTGCCATGGGCTATGATTATGACAGAAATAAATTGGAAAATCTGCTGGAGGTGGCTATAAAGTGTACAGAAGCAGACAGACATGCAAGACCATCCATGAGCCAGGTAGTTCAAATGCTTCTGGGGGACAAAATTGATCCTCAACAATTCAATAATAAGACTGCAGGAGACCCTAACTGATACGTCCCAGCATCTTTTAAATAATCTGTAAACAAATGACTCCGTTTTAGTGTCTATTGGTTATTATTCAATTGTGCGGTAGAATTTCGTGGATTTAGGACCCCTACTAAGGCTTTGGATTCGTGTTTGTAAATTGGAAAGACAGTAGAAGTATAGAATTAGCTAATTTGCTTAGTCATGGCAATGTTTTACAGAACATTGGGTGGGTTTGAGTGGTAATTTCTTTTGCAACAATTTATCCTTATCTGTCCCTTGAATCCCATTTTAATGCTGAGAACGCTTAAGCCTTAATATGAACACAATTGGGACGTTGCCGGTGAACAAATTCTCTTTCGTGAGAATTGAACGTATGAATTTCGTATAGGCAGGCTGGTCTTACCATTAATGGCTTTTGAATACCAACTTTTGGGGACACTACTGATTATGACCGTTTGGCTTACATGGATAAACACCATAGAACAGTAAAGCACTTTGTCATTCGAATATAAGTAGTAGCTAAATTAATACTAAAAACAGACATAATACTACTTCAGAAAAGTAAATGGCGGTCATCTTAGTTCACAGCAGAAAAATGAGTGCTCTTACAAATGCCATAGCATCTGCAGCAGATAAAGCAAGGATGTCAACAACAGAATATAGATTAGAATGACAGGCAGCTCAAGGACTCTTGATCAAATGTACCCGCTTATAGCCTGTAAGAATCGCTAGGCATATCTAATAGTAGCAGCGAAGCATCACATCCCTTAGAAGGGAAAGTAAAGGTCATATTCAAGAAATAAAGTACAAGGAAGCGAACAGAACCAAAGGATGCAAAATGGGGCAACGAAGGTAGGAAAGAAGCGGCCCGCAAATGGAGCCACAGCACTGCCGCTAACAAGGATGGGTTACGATCACCAAGTTTACTAATTCTGACAATTCTCTGAAGCCAGGCATATAGAAACCAATTTTCCGCAAGCAATCTGGTGTGCCTTGCAATGTTGAATCAATATAACTATTGCAAACAAGAATAGTTTCATTTTCCTAAGCAGCTTGTGGTGTCCAGTGTCCACAGTCCAGACCGTGTATTGCTTGATGCATGAAAATATGAAATCTTTTTGTCCTCAGGTAGTCGAATGAGGCAGAAAAGAATGAATCAAATGATTTTCAGGTCTTAAGAAAAGTGATGGTTAATTCATCATTGACAACCAACATTCCAATCTTATATTTTTTATTTAATTAGTATTTAAAAAGCTGTGATTTATTTGGTAAAGATATGAAATCAAGCGAGTTGCCTTTCAGAAACCAGCTTACCAAAGTAGATTTTGCAAGCAGTTGACAGGGAACACCCCACTATCACCCTTTTTCCTCTCTGGCTGAGGCTACAGAAAGCCTGATTTATTCTGGAGTAGTGCCCTCGGCTTGGCCAGCAAATACTGCTCAGTGCTCACAATGTCTATCAATGTCAATTTGGACCTAGTGTGCCATGTTGCAGCCCATTAAGTTTCATGAAGGAAATAATACGAAAGATAAAAGAGGTCTCATAGGTAGAGTAACACGTAATAATTGATCCAAAATAGGAAAAAAGAGCTTTCCATGCATTTCTCATCAAGGTAACGAAACAATAAGAATAGAGATTCTATGGCAATGAGTCTTCATTTCTTCAATAAAAACAAAGCATTATCGTGACAGATAACTGACTAATAAATATTTACAAAATTTCTATTCAAATAAGTCTTTCATTGCTTGATGGTCCAATATGTACTTCATTTGCATCAGCTTGCCAGTATTGATACAGTCTTGGAGCTTATTTGTCAGTCATATATCTAAAAATTGTGGGGAAACAAGAGGGAATTTATGTAGATAATTGGAATGAAAAGCCTAGCTTAAGCAAGGAAGATATTTATTATATCCTACTTCTTATCCTCAAACTTCCAATGGTTGTGAAACTTTTATATATACCAATTACAAGGTTTTACTTTTACATAAGCCATGATCTATAAACAGCAGATCATGAAAAAATACATAGCAATTCATTTGTTTACCAGACAAATTCATGGTTAGCGTTTTGATGAGTTACATCGTACATTAGCCTTAGCTTGGTCACGGGATGCTATTGTAACAAATTTTTTAGCTTCTCTTTCTTTTTTTTTACCTATAATTTGAGGAGTTGTGGACCAATAGTAGAACAAATCTATAACCAACAAATAAATTATGATCATTTGTCTTCAACAAGACACCAATTTGCCAAGATAGAGGTTTGGTTTTTCATAATTAACAAAGGGTTTACTACTAAAACTTAGGAAACATGTGGTCTCTATTTGTTTGCTTTGCCAAAGAAACAGTTATTGTTTTGTTGGTTTTAGCAGCATGATGAGTATCAGAAGGTTTTGTGACGAATCTAAAACCAAACTTCATCATTGCATTACCCTTAAAATTCTTTCTAATTTCTTTGAACCCATTTTCTGAAAGAGAAAAAAAATATTTGCAAAATATAAAGATTTTTCCTTTTTTTTTTTCATTTCCATTTTTTAGAGTTTCTTTTTTTTCTCAAAGTTCCAACCTGGTAATCTACTTCCACCCTTCTCATCAACATCCTTTCACTTCTTGATTCCCCATTTTTATCCATCTGTACACTACCAAAATTATTATTTCTATAACCAGCGATAGACTAACTAAACCAAAAAAAAAGAAGACTTGGAAAACCGAAGAAAGGAAACAAAAGACTACTTTTTCCTTCTGCTGACTCTTGTTGTTGTCTACTCGATCTTGCTGATTCCAATACGCTTAACAACAGCATTTCTGATAGCCTCAGTTTGAAAACATAGCCCATTTTGTTCAATCCCAGCCATGTAGCTTCTCACTTCTTTTCTTATCATCTCTTGCATAACTGCCAAAAACTCTGGACTAAAAAACTGCTTCTCCATTCCAACCTCAACGTTTTGCACCCCCACTTGCTGCAACTGCACAGCTGAAACCGAAGCAGGGGCTGGTGCTGATGTTGATGCCGCCACCAGTGTTGGACTTGGAACAGGGTTGAATCCGGGTGGGGATACAGGTCCCCGATCAGAGATGTCACATGAATCAGATCCAGGCAGCGAGAGGCTGAGTAAGGTTGGAGGATCCGTTGTGGAGGATGCTGTTTCCACATGCTGACTAGAAGGGACCAAAGACCCAGTTCTTGCTAACGGTCTGTAAACCGGTGAGGCGGCGGGCAAACTCGAGTCACTCAAATCGGATCCTGAAGGACTACTAGGGTTCAAGAAAAGCCCCGATACATTATTACCAGTACCAAGACTGGCCGACCTTTTAAGCGGCTGCGGCGAATCGTCGTTCAAATCATCAGCCATCGAGGAGCATTTTCGCTTGAGCGTCGAGTTCCAGTGGTTCTTAATCGCATTATCAGTACGGCCATTGAGGAGTCGAGCGATGGTAGCCCATTTGTTACCGAATCGGGCATGGGCTCGAATTATGGTATCATCTTCTTCAGGAGTGAACGGTCGGTGTTCAACCTCAGGTGAAAGCTGGTTGCACCATCGAAGCCTACAAGACTTTCCCGATCGACCCGGTATCGATTTGCTTATTAAAGACCAGTTCCTCGGACCGTACGTTTGAACCAGCCGCTGTAAAGCCTCATCTTCTTCTGGACTCCATGGACCTTTGATCCGATCCACATCTTTCCTTGTAGAAGCCATTGGATTTAAAAAAAAAAAAAAAAAACTCCAAAAACTGATTACAAAATCAAAAACCAACAAAAATTAATCTATTTTTTTTGTACAGATTTGAGAAGGCTGTTTTTCGAAGAGGGTGGTGGAGGGATTGGTACTACGGTGGTTGAGGCTCCGCCTCACCTTTCATTAAAGAGAAGCGAAGAAAGAAATGGAGAAGAATATATATATGGCAGGGGATAAGAATGACTAGTTGAACCGGTAGAAGTGAGCACTCACCGGCCATAGCCGTTGAGAGTTGAGGATTCTTCCAGGCAAGGCAGTTACTAGTATACAGCTGTCAATATGACACGCGTCATTTTCTCGATTTCCTAACTTATACGTATTATTATCAGCCCCTCTCCCTTTCCAATGTATGGATTACGTAGCTGTTCCCACCTTACCAAATCGTCAAGTTCACACCTGTAATGGGTAATTATGTGGGGAAGTTAAGCGGTGAAAAGTCCAAAATATCAATAGAATCAGAGACTTGGTAATTAAGAGCAGTTGAATTATTTTTTATAATTAATCTTCATATTTATTTATTATATTTTAGATATGCAAATCATAAAACTTTTTTAATTTTCACAAAATTTAAATATAATTTTTTAAAAATTTAAATTATTATATCATATTTAAATTAATCATATTTTGAAAATTAAAGTTTGAGAGGATAAATTAAATCTTATCCGAATTAAAAAAAAACTAATTACGAAAGAAATAAGTGTACGGTTGGGACTTTGGAGAGGGGAATGATAAGCCAGGCTGGACAGCATATTGATAATTAAATTTTTATTTGTTTTAATTTTTTTTATAGGAATGATAAGGGAGGGGAAAAGGACACGCGGTATAGCTGAGCTGGCGTAGAAAACGACAAAGCTAATTAGCAGAATCGGGGAACGAACGGTACAGCAGTTGCGTCAGTCCAGCCTGTCGTAAAAACTCAAACGCCAAACCCCCACTTACAGCAATTTCCCCCCCTAACCGCCTACTCCCAAATTACTGCCACGTGCCGGTCATGCTACTCAGTCCACCCGTTTTTTTTATACATTATGAAACAGCCAAAAAACGGACTCCACCGTCTCACCAGCTTAATTTATTCCTCTATTTTTTTTTCCTATTTGCTGCTCCTAATCTTTCATGATTATCTTAGATTTCTTTATATCTGAATCATACCAAAATTAGTTACGACTCTCTTTCATGCTTTCCAAGCTTTGCAAAAATATCTCAAATATGTTTTAACATCAAATTTTATGCAAAAAGTGGTATGCTTTCCTTTTGATTGACAGAGTAATGTAGTTTAGCCAAAATTAAACTAGTTTTATTTTTTATTTTTATATCAGACACTGTCTTTTGAAAATAAAAGAAAATATTATATATTAAAATTTAAAATGATACGGATAAAGCAAATTGCAGTGCGATTTTTAATGATAAATACAAAATGGAAAAAGTGGGGAAAAACAAAGAAAAAGACTAAAGTGATGAAAAGCAACAAAATTTGAAGGGAAAGGAAAATGAGCCCCTTTTGAGCCTGGAAGGGTTACTCGGGCGACAGCTGGCTAAACCTCCTTCGGGCCATACATAAACCCATTTCCCGCAAGAGCCCCAACTCCCAAACAAAAGTCCCACGCGCACCCTCCGCCCGCCACCCCTTTACCTAATCCTTGTCCTTTAGCCGTACCGCCACCTTTCTACAATCCCCTCATCACGTGACCCGGCCCGCCATGCCTTTGCTTGAAGTTTTCCTAACTTCCACCCAATGAAAACAGTCCCGCATCCTTTCAATCGCTGATTTAAGGGAGAGGAAGAGATCTTGTAAATAAAAAAATTATAAATATTAAATTTTAAAATTATCGGATGCTATCGTTAAATGTGATTATATCAACGAATTAAATTAAAATTAATTTAATTTTAATGTTTAAAAAAAAATCAAAGTAAAAACATTTTGGAGGTCCATGAACTCACTGATGACCAAAATGTAATTGATGCAGCGCGTTTTGAGGCCATCAATATGATAAAAAACAAAACCCAGGAAAATAATCAGTGCTTACTTTGTATATTGTGGGAGGATAACAGATTTTTTCAGAGGCCATTTATTAGAAGAAAGGGGTAAGCCTGCAAGGGAAGGGGAAGAGAATGGACCCAAAGTTGTGGGCACGCTACTGGACTGCCTTTAACCAACAAAATTATGCTTTGGATTCTCACAATAATGCCTATGTTGTAAGTATGCATCTGAAATTTTTTTTTTATGGAACAAAGAATGGCAGTTTCAGTCATTTAGAATGTGTTATAATCCAGGGATTTTAAAATATGATTAAGGGATGAAGAAGGCACATGGGTACAGAAAAGCAGTAGGAGGATGTTTCCTGGAAACAAAGTCTTTGATTTGTTAAGAATTTGATTCTCATAAATCTTATATGAAAAATTCATTTGAATTGTCAGTAAGATTAAAAAAATTTATTGTAATTACAAATAAAAAATTTTATATTAAATAAAATGAATTCAATTGTATCACATTAAAAATATAATAGAATCCAATCCCGCCGAAACAATGTTGCTATTTTCTCAGTTCCACTAAACCGCAAGTGGGAAATACTCTGGTAGTATTTTTGTAATTGTCTGTACTATATATTAATTGCTGAAGATAAGATGTTATAACAATATATATGATTCTGCTTTGCATTGAATCAGTGAATGTACTGCCATTATCCATTCATCAAAACAGAAAGGAAAAATAAAGAGAAAAAGAATGTGCAAGCATCATAACCTGGTCTTGACCTAAATGCACTGAATTATAGCAGAAGGGTTTTAAGATATGCATATGTTTAATGGTTAGATAACGTTTTAATATATACATGCTGTGGGCATACGGAGTGTGGACCATTTCGAAAAGTAGTATTTATGTGACCAAAATGTTAATTTAGCTTCAATGCACATTAATGCATGAAAGGCGAAGAATGTTATAATGTTTAGGTCAGCCTATGATGATAGTAAAGATGGAAATATAATGAAGTTTGGGCAGATAAACGGAAGCAAATCACCTACAATGAATTTTTGTAGGGTCTATCAATTTCATATAAAATTCACATTTATAAAATATTGAATTTTTATATATTTTTTTATTGTAATTAGATAATTATAGAATTGTAATGAAAAATTATAAGTGAAATGTTCCCTAATATTTTATTTATTGTGTTATTGATAATTAATTTGTCATGGTTTTTAGTATTTTATTTTTGAATTTGTTTTTTTTACAATATTAATTTTATTTATAAAATTTAAAAATTCATTGATATTGGATAAATTACTTATTGGATTAGATATTTAGTAATTGGATAAATTACTAATGAATTTGCCATGACAATATGTCAATAGAATATCTAAAACCAGTCTTCAACCTTACTAATCATTGTACCATTTATCTCGTCAGTCACCTTTAAAAAATAAAATTGAGAGATGAATTTGATGATTTAGAAGCAAAATTGCCAAATCAAAATTATCAATTAAAATGCAAACTTTTTCATAAAATATGATAACTATGATAATTGTTAGGCTGATGAATTTGGACACGGAAGTTGAAGTTAGATCTTGAAGTGCAATCATCATTCATCAATGTGTTCCTTAGTATACTATTCTCTTTAGTACTTTTAAATAAAAAAAAAAAGGGTTTGTTTGGAATTTCATGCTTGATATGATCGTAAGTTGGAAGACAACTAAGTATTTAAAAGACAAATTATGGGCTATAAAGTTTAGGCTATTAAAAGTTAGGCCACCAATCACGTAAAAGTATCATCATCAAATCAAAGCTGGCTCCCTCTGAATTTGAGAGACCACGTCATTGGACTGACAAAGCTGATTAACTTAGGATTGTCATTAATCAAGTTAATCTTAATCATTTCTTCCTCCTCGAGCCAAAAGAAAAACAAAGGAAAGAGGGGAAAAAAAGTGGCTTTTGACCGAAAATGATTGAGCTGTGTAACTGGTGTGCTGATCTCTCTCTCTCTCTTGAATTATTGGTGTGGCAGATGTAGACAAAACTTGACAAAAATCAAGCAACAGGGCCGGTTCCTTTCTCGCCAAGCTGGTTTGTTGTTGGGGCCCAACAAGTTCCATGTGGACACAGCAATGATGACCGAAACGCTCCAGCTGCATATTGGAGCCACGTATGATCATTTAAGGGTGGTGGGGGATGACGTGGCACTCGTGGTTTAGAGTGGGGAAGGAGTTTTTTTTGTTTTCTTCTTTTTTGGTTTAACGGACCTAACCGCAGGAAAGGAAGAGAAGGTTTGAAATGGGATGCCAACTGGAACGTATGCCAGCTATAAGGCACTAACCCCGAGTTCCAAGAGAATCCTGTCTTGGGATTCGGGTTGAGTTGGGTTTGGCCGGCGGGTCCCATTTTAGGCCATGATTTTCCGCTGCATGCATCCATCCGTCTATCGTACGTCGTGATCACCTGACGCTGAAGAAAGATAAGAGAGAGGGCAGGGGACTGTTTGTTGTTACTGTTGCTTTAGATGGAATCGAGTGGTAAAAGTCTATTTTATGGTACGGCTCAATGATTTTTAACTGTTTTACTGTTTGCATGCAAAATTTTCGTTTGGATTCCTGGCGGGCAAATGCAACAGGAATTGGATGGGATCCTTGTCCCATTTAAATGGACAAAGCCAGTTGTAAAATGGTCCCAATCCTACTCTACCAACTGAACTGAACTAACCATTCTGCAACACACCACTGTCCCAACCCCCAACATTATTACAATTTCTCTCTTTCTCGCTTTTTTTTTTTTTGGATTAAAAGACCTGTCAATAATAATTTCGTTGTACAAAAAGATTTTTATAAGAAATGCTAATAATAATTGTTTTATTATTTTTTAATATAAAAAATTTACATGCTTAAAAATAATTTAAAACTACCGGAATTATTTTAATTTGTAAAAAAATGAGTTTTTTTTTTTAAGTATTCCAACAGCAAAATTTAGAATCCATCAGTTTGAGGAATGCGCTTTTAAGATAATTTTAAAAGAATATTACTCACACAAAATATAAAAATATTTATGATTATATTATAAAATAAAATAATTATAACAAGTAAAATATTTCCTTTCGAAATTATTATTTGGTAAATTTTAATGTTCAAAACTTATTTTACCGTCTCAAAATATT